AGATCAGATTTCATTTCTCCAGTGAGGAGAGTGAGTCGAGCTGACTGACAAGAAGAGTGAGTTGAGACAGACAAGACGACCGCAGATGATTTAGTTTCAAAACTAAATGCAAAAGCGCCTGTTTGGCAATATTTTGGATTTTGAAAAGCCTGTTGACTTTTGCTGTTTATCTGATTTTGGAAGTTTTTTTAAACATTTGTTTCTTATTTAATTGGTTCCACATTGTTTGCAGATTTTTACTTTATTTAAACTTTGTGTCATTTATTTATTTTATTTGACATCAAGGTGTATGCCTTGCCTTCAAGCTTTCTTACTCGTTTTGCTAATAAACGTTCTACTTTCTTATTTATTTAGTTATATATTATACATGTTTACTTAGCCTATTTCCAGTTTTGTATATCTATTTAAACTTTATGTAAGTTATTTGTTATTTTATATTAGGCATAGCCTGCCCTATAGCATGGTGTATTTTTATTTGTTTTGTTAATAAAAGTTCTATGTTTTATATATAGGCTAAAGTGAGTTTGACATTGTATTTTGTTGTTGCATTCAAGCAATTGATGCCGAACTGCCGCTAATTCGAAAGCTATTTAAAAGCGAAGGAAAGCGAGGAAAAGAGGGAAAATTCAAACGAACAATTGCTTTACTTCGAATTGCCACTATTTGAAAGTGAAAGTAAAATGCGCATGAAGGAAAGCGAGGAAAAGAGTGAACGCCCCGCCCCCGCGGTGATACCGGTATTACCGGTGTTGTCACACGTCGATTAACCGGTGGGAAAATTTCCTCACCGTCACAACCCTATTTTAAACCAAGCAGCTTTTTTGTTTCATCAGCTGGAAAAGGAAAATGTGGATGTCTCTATTCTCAAAGAATTAGAATGGTTATTAAATCTTATTTAATAGGCTGTGGTGCAATTTGGTCTTTACAGTTGTTTTAAATAGTTTGGTGCTAGCATGTTGCTAAGCTACATGATAGTACGATAAGCACAACAAGTACATAAAGACAAATATTTAGCAAAGTACTCTGGTTTAATTTAGTCTCAGTCTCAGACCGTTGGCATAACGTCTGATGCATGTGACACACAAAATTGGAAACACTTCAGGAGTTTTGAAGTCGCCATCTGATTGGTTGAATTCTACAGGATTTGTAGAGTGAGCTCTTATCAGGATGCTGGATTTTCAAAAGTATGTGAAATATTTAAAGTTTGCGTATCTTTAAAATACGGCCAAGAGTTTTCCACAACGGCTTCTTATTGTGGGGACATTTCCACGCCCCTAAACATGACGCAGGACAGTGCCAAACGTGATTGGTTGCTTTACCTGTCAATCATATGGCTTGGGCGGTCCTTGCCCATTTAAAGCGGCCATGGTTCCTCTGCCATCAGTCTGAAGGTTTAACTATGTGAGACTAGGTTTAATTAGACTTTTTATCTACACTTTTGAGTACTGAATAAAATATATTTTGTAATCAGCATTCTCTAGAATTTTTTTATTTGTATTTTTTTTTACTGAGCATTCTGGCATTGAAGATACTGCGTGGATATAATGCTACCTTAGACTTTATCCCAAAATGAGGTGTCTTAGCTTTGGAACAATAAAACATGTACAGAGCCAATCTATTCATCACTACTAGTGATTTTGTGCTGAGTGCTTAAATGGTTCCTGACTTTTTATCTCTGTCTTTCTGCAGACAAGCGTGAAGGAAGGGCTGCTTCTGAAACAGACAAGCTCGTTCCAGCGTTGGAAAAAGCGTTATTTCAAATTGCGGGGACGGACGCTATACTATGCCAAGGATGCCAAGGTGAGTTATTCTTTAATTATATCTTGATACTGATATCCTGATGCTACACTGTAAAAAATTTCAAACCTTTAATTGCTGCCTTAAAAACAGTAAACCATTGCAATTTTTCATTTTATTTAATTACTAATAAAGAAAATCCAGTTGTTGTGTTCAAAAATTATTTTTTATAACGATGCTAACATTTTTTACAGTGTACAGTAACCCCCCCCCTACAATAATCCCCCTGTAAGACCTACTGAGTGATCTAAGGTAAGGGGGTAGTAAATTTTGCCTGACCGTGGTTCGTCCCAGGATTTACTGGGCATGCCTGTGCTGAGAGGGGCTGAAGAGCTGCACATGGGCACTTGCATAGCACCTTCTGCCATGCCTTTAATGTCACTGTGTGTGTGTGGTTGCACTATGGCAGGCGGGTGGCGTTTTGGCCCGCTGGCAGTATCGGGTCTCTCGTAGCCGCGTGTGCTGGAGGGTGCTTTCCGTCTGCTGGACCGGGGCCCGACATCCGCCGCCTGCTCTTGGTGCCAGTGGATCGGAGGAAGGCTTGGTGGCGATTCGGGTCAGCAACAGCAGCGACCCCCTCTTTATCTATCTAGCCTTCATCAATGACATTGCTGACCGCCCATCACCCTGCTGGCATTGTTCAGGATGCCCGTTTTCCTCATTGGGCTGCGGCACAACCGAAGCGGCATCACGTCATTTCCGCGTCTGCTTGTCTGTTTAGGCATCTGAAGAGGAGGGTGGAGAGTCCCGGAGACGTGGCTTGTATGTCTTTGTCTGTGTCTGAAGGGAGATGTTTTACCCAAGAACCTTGTATTGAGTGTGTTCGCTTCCATTCGTATGTTCTTTGCCCATTCAGCTGCACTTCCTGTGGTTACGGATGGCATTCAGGCGTTGGGTCTGTGATCTGATCTGAATCAGGAGAGAAAGTGTGGATGCTTAAAATGTAGTCCAAAAAATCACCAGTTCATAGCTATGCAGCTGCCATGATGCAAGCTAGCACTTTCTGCATAGCTCCTGAATGACATGGAGTGGTATGGCGGCAGAGAGCTGGGAGTTACGACACAGACCTCACAGGCAGAAACGAGGTGGCTGATCGCACTGCTGTGCTCAGACAAGGGGGTTTTGTTTGCACTGGCATGGCACCCGGGTCTGTGACGGACTCCGAGGCCTGCACTTCATGCAGTAGAACTGTTTACACTGCCTGAGTATACAACCATCATTTACATCACCACCCAAACACTGGGCCTTCACTGATTGAAGCTAAAACTTGATGGAAAGGTCTCAGGAAACCAGGAAATACTTATTTTATCCTTTAAATGCATATCTCTTTTTGGAGTTCATACATTGATTAACTTGATTATACATAGGGCTGGGTGGTATGACAGTATATACCATGTAGCACACGCACACACACACACACACACACACACACACACACACACGTATAGATATATTTATTTATTTAGTCTGGATCACAAAAAAGTGAAGTGGTTTTGTTAAAATATGATGTATATATGAAAAATGTAGAAATATGCAGTAAAAAACAAGGTGATATGATGCAGAGGACAAATGACAAGACTCTCATGACTATGTGAAATATTTAATAATTGGATCTTTTTATGACGTAGTTTAGAATATCATATGGTAAAACTTCCCTAAAAAGCAATGATACTGTATTTATGAATGGATAATTCATTGTATTGTTTAAAAAAAAAACTATTACACCGTGTGATTGTTTTATTTTGTTAAATAAAGATTATGTACCCTGCCGGTAATTTAAGTAAAAAGAAAAATTAATTGTTCAGCAAGGGCCCATTAAATACATCAAAGTGATAGTAAAAACATTCTTTTAAAAATGTCAGTTGTAAAAGTCAGTAATATTTTTTAAGGAAATTAATACTTTTATTCAGCAAGGATGCATTAAATTGGTCAAAAGTTACAGTAACTACAACATTTATTATGTTACAAAAGATTTATATTTCCAGTAAATTATGTTCTTTTTAACTTTTTTATTCATCAAAGAATTCTGGAAAAATGCATCACTGTTTCTATGAAAATATTTAGCAGCACAACTGTTTGATGTCGTAATATGTTAGAATGATTTTTGGAATAATGATGCTGAAAATTCAGCTTTACATAATTTAAAGCTGTTTTTGAAATGAATAATCATTTGCTTTGCGTCCATCAAATTCCAACTATAAAGAGAAAATAATCAAATGAGATGATGCGCCTTTATTATCTAAAAACAGTCAACGAAATTAAACAGTATATTACATTTACATGATGATATACGCCATTTCCTTCACATAATATAATAGGAAATAATAAGTTTGCCCAAACTCCCCAGCCCTAATTATGACTGCAGAAAATGACATTGTTACTTCCTTGACAAATGTTAGTCAACAGTAGTTTCTAACATCCTGGCTTTCCTGAGTTTTTTCACTGGTTGCTGAGGGTGGTGTGTGACGTTTTTATTATCTCAGGCCTTCGGTTCCTGCTCTCTGCGCTGATGGAGGAGGTCATAACACACCCAGCTGTCTGCAATCCATCTTAAACTCATATAGCACACATGCATGGTAGTGCGTAGGATAAGGAGTAGCTTGATAAGCTCATTTCCGTGTCATTTCAGTATCACTGTGCATAAGATGTTTGTTTATCAAAGTAAGCTAAATCGGTTGCGGTGCAGTGATCGTCAGTGTTTACTATTCTCCTCTTTCTTCTCCTGTTCACAGTCTCTTATTTTCGATGAGGTGGATCTTTCAGATGCCAGTGTTGCCGAATCAAGCACAAAGAATGTCAACAACAGTTTCACGGTAAGCCACCTTTTCCATGCTTTAGGTCAAAACAGGTGTATATCCACACTATACCACAAATTGATAGCATATGTAGCGTCTCGACCAATCTGACACTCTAATTTTTATTTGATTTAACAAATCAACTATTCATTAGATTAACAAATTGTCACAGTCCCCTCACTCAATAAACTGGATGCCAGGATTTCTGCAAACACCAGGCCCCCTTGGTCCCCATGACAACTAATCATGATATCACTGGTTTTATGACCCCCCAGGAATGTGAGTAGAATGACCCACTCATTGTCCCTCTAAGGAAAGGCAGAGTAGAAATTGACTTGTGCTCTAGTTAATTCATAGGAAAACCATTCTTTGAATGAACACACATATTCTTCAGACCATTGTGTATATTATTGCTGTTTTGTATTAATCTGTTGTATTATAGACTATTTTATTCATGCTTACGATAAACCACTCATTCATATAACCTTACATATACCGTGTTTAGTATCTATGAATTCGCCTTCTGATGATCTAAACAAGAGTGTATATTATATGCAAATTGGTTCTTTTCATCAACTAATTTCAGCAAGATCTTGGGCCTTAAGATTTCATCAGGAATCTCTTTCAGACAGCCGAGACTCGCAAGTATCAAACTTAGTCGTTTTAATTGATGCATTAAGTATCAGTTATACCTTTTTCAAAGGTGTGTTTGAACTAAGGATCTGACGTATCCCTCAGGTGTAGATCTGCTGAATATGCAAATGGTTCCATAAATTTCATTCCTTATGCCTCTTTCTGTACTGAGTTAAACTTTAACCCTTTCCTATACCAACTGTATGTGTGTGTGTGTGTGTGTATGTGTATGTTAGACCAGTTTATGTGTTTATGTAGTCTGTTGGACTAGTTTAAGTGTTTATGTAGTTAATAAAACCTTACTTGTATCACACTTGACGTGTTCATTGTTTGCTCATAACCGGAGTCACTAATCATGCAGATTTACGCTACAAGCTTTGTAGAATTGTACAGTAAGAAAGTTATTTCCCTTAACCAGGAAATTAACGTTCTTAGAATTGACAAGACAGTTGACCCTGAGAGGTCAGCTAAATATCTACAGCGGATCTAAAATATGAATAGTTAATTATAACTAGTTAGGGTTAGTTATTCATATTAATCATGAGCTGATTCGTTACACATATTAGATGTGTGATATTGACTATTAGTCTGCCAGATCCTACAGGATCATGCATTTCTCATAGCAACAAGTCAGTCAATTCCACAAGTGTCCAGGTGAAGTGTGTCATTTTTGTCCCGACACTGCCTAGTAGAAGGTGTTAACGGTGTTACATGGTGTTCGGTCTTTCACCGATTACATTACTTGTCCCCACTGTCGTTTTGCTATTTAGTTCAGTTGGATAACAGACACATAACGGCACATATTTTTGTGCTTTTCCATGGTATATCATGTGTTTGTGAGCAAGTAAACAAGTGTCGTCAGCTGAGATCAAACGGGCTGAGGAGCAGCGACTGTGGTCGTGTCCTTCTAAAAACTGCAGGCACGGCTATAAAAAGAAACAACGGAGGACCAAGAAAGCTCAGAGGAGAACGAGGGGTTATTCTTAGCAGCAGAGATGTTAGTGCTCCACTGAGCATGCTTTGGATGATTTGATCGCTGGCATATTGTTTAACAGTGGGCCGGGTGAAGGGAGCCGTGTGGACGCGTGTGTAATGCACGTGCTCTGAGGTAGTTGCTACACTCCGCCTCCTTGAACAAATGCTTTTTCCCTTCTGAAAAAAGAAATCACCCACTGCCAAGAAAAACAACAGATGCTCATTACACTTATAAATTATTGAGAGACCCATGTTTAGGCTTTTTTTTTTTTTTTTTTTTTGAAATAAAGCGTGTGTTCTTGTTCTGTAAGCGAGGCGATCTGCAGATTTCTGTGATCCCACTGACACTGTCGTGCAGAAATGACACACTTCACTTTGAGGGAGTTTGTTCTGTGCTGGTTAATGGTCCTCCTGAGGCTCTTGAAGGTTTACCCACAGGAGAATTATATTGCTCAGAGGTTGCTCTTTTATGTCACAAGAAACTTAATTGAGTTCTCTGTAATGTTTTCCTGAAGTAACGACAGATGTGTCTTCTAGAATTCTGTAGTAGAAATAAAAATAGTCCCAGATTGATATAAAATAAAGCTATAAAATTAATATGGATAGCACTGCTTGGCTGTATTATATTATATTATATTATATTATATTATATTATATTATATTATATTAT